TAATATTTAGTGTGAGATGTTCTACAGTCAAAATCATATTTTTATTTGTGCTCAGATAACAAGAGAAATATCCTTTTTCTTTGTGAACAAGGGAAAGCATAAAGGCTAAATAGAATTGGCCAGATTATGACCTAAATCTCAGCTTCTGGTGTCTTGGAAATCCTGGGTTAGCAGGGGACCAGCAGGCACCAGTGCACTCAGAGCAGCCTTCAAATTCACTGAAGTGGAATTGTTGCCAAGAAAGATTCAGCTAGCTGAGGCTCCTGCTCTACGGATTTGGGGTTAAGAAAAAACAAGTCCTTTGAATTGTGCCAATTTTAATGCTTTCTCTTTTTTTCCACTCCGCTGCTGAAATGCAGCTTTCACTTGGATGAAGGAGGTGAAAATCTAATGGAAACATTTCAGAAGGATGGAAAGCAAAACTGCTCTCCCCAGGCACTCTGTTCTGCTGCACATACTCAGTCTGTGCACACTCTTCCCTCCAGATTTCAGCTCCTTTTGTGGTGAGGAAAAATGTTTGTGCTGTTAAATTCTGCCAGGTTAGGAAAACTGTTTCCCTTGCTGCTCCCCCATGACTGTGCAGCCCTTGTTGGAGCGGGGATGGTGCTGGGATGGCAGCCAGGACTGAGGAATTCCGAGGGGCTCTGCTGCAGTGGCCTGGCAAAGGAGCTGCTCTGAGATGCCTTTGTCTGGCTGCCATCAACGTGCCTCTGTTTGCCAGGATAATTGCCCACTCAATGCTAACTGGGGGGATAATTGTATAAAGCTCATGTCCAGTGTAAACAGGAAACAATGTGCTTTGTTTATCTTTGCTAGCCATGAGGTTCCCTTCTGTCAGCCTGCTAGGACTGGCTGGTAATTATTTGCTGGCAGAGAATGTGGGGTGACAAATTAACATAAGGGGGCACGACATCAAAACCTAATCTCCCTTATTATTCGGGTGAAATCTCTGGTTTTAAGGCCTAATTGAAAGGCTGAGAGGATTGGTTTTTTTCAGCCTGCATTAGAGAAGGCTCTGGGCTGACCCAAGTGCAGCATCCCAGCACCTGAAGGGAGCCTCCAGGGAAGGTGGGGTGTCCAACCAGGGACAGAACAGGGCTGGAGGGCTTCCAGCTGAGAGAGAGGAGCTTTGGCTTACCTACATGGAAGGGATTCTTGACTCAGAGGGTGGTGAGGCAGGTTGCCCAGGGAATTTGAGGCTGTCCCATCCATGGACAGCCTCAAAGTCGGGTTTGGAGGGAGCTCTGAGCAACCTGGGCTGGTGAAAGGTACCCCTGTGCATGGCAGGGCGGTGGAACTGGGTGATCTTTGTGGTTCCCTTCCAACCCAGGCTATTCTGTGATTTTATGATTACTACAAAGTAGATCATGTCCTAGACCTATAGCTGTTCAGTTTTTCAGGCTCTGACTTGGAAACAAATAGTTCCAGAAGTTCATACTTTAAAAAGGCTTTTCTCAGTTCTTATGATAGTTCTGCAACTGTGGAAAGATAAAGTGTAGGTTTGGTTTTTTTTTACACTCAGTAGTAATACAGCTCACTATAAAAAAAAAATGTTAGTGTTACCATAGCAAATTCCTGATTATTTGGTTTAATAAACATTTTAAACCAGTCTCTTGACTGATTACTATTATGAGAAACAGTTATAGTTGAAAAGTGTCTCATATAGAAAAATCATGGGTTTATTTTCTTCTATTTTAACCCCTGAAGTTTAGGAGCAGTTTTCCTTTGCGTTCTCATGTTGGATGTCTGTACCTTACAGCATGAGTGAGACTGTTTCCTTCAGTGCCACTCCTTGCACTGGTGAGCACATCAACCTGTGACTCATAGCAATAACTGACTCAACATCTACTGTGAGCAAACTGGTTAAATAATGGTGAAAAATCGGACTGGAAAGTCAGAAAAGCCTCAGGTTTTGTTCCCAAGTGGTGAGTAGCACAGAACTGTGTGAGTTACCTGTGCAGTGTGACATTGCCCTGATGTTAGGAGCTGAGGGATGCAGGAGGCACTGCCTGGTCCCTTTCCTGCTGCCCCACAACCCCTCTCGTATTCCCAAGGCTTGCCAAACTCCAGGTGTCCGTGCTGGAAGTGCAAGTGGTGCATCAGGTGCTGAGTAACAGCATCTCACCCCTGGGCTCTCCAGCCCTGAGCAGCAGACCCTTGCACATGCTGCTTTGGGTTCTTGTAACGTGCACGAGCTCCCTGACACTCTTTTTCCAGCTCTCCCACCCCAGCTTTTGTGCTAGGTGGGGCTGAGCAGTGGCAGGAACATGCCCTGTGCAGCCCAAGGGGAGGATTTAATTTGCCTGCATTTCCTACTCAGGTTAATGGAAAAGGCATGTCAAAATTAGCTGAAAAAAAAAAAAAATTCCTGCCTTTCCTGCCCCTTTGTTGTTCTTCTAACTCTTTTCAGGGAACATAACATCAAATGAGTTTAAAGGTTTTCTGTGTTCAGTGGGCTGAAGTTGTGCTGTGGTAAGTGATTTTATGCTGTTTTTACTCTTTTGCCAATGTTCCTTCATTTTCTGTAGTTAGCCAGTAAACTTTTGTGTAGTTGAGAATATCTGGGTTGAATTTTCTCCTTTGCACCTACCCAGAACAAAACACCCTTGGTTTAGCCCTGGGTTTGAGTGACCATGGTGTGGCACAGTCACAGACTGCTCTTATTACATATTCAGTCAAGAATTTGACTCAAGTCAAGTCATATTGACTGATTTACATATTCAGAGTTAGATGGGAAACTTAACAGCAGCATGGTAATGGGAAAAAAAATTAAATCACACTGACATTTATGTTACTGGAGAAACACAAACCCTTCAGGTAAAGGTTGGTACGGGAAGGGAAAAGGTAGAAGAATCCAGCAAAAGCTAAGATCAAGTTCTTGGGACACTGAATATTGAATAAATTATCCAGTCTCTGGGCATTTGGGGTGTTCTTCCTTTAGAGGATTGAGCTGCTTCTTTCTTCACTAGTTTTACTACACTGGACTCATTTATGTAGCACCTCCATGTAAAATACGTGTTTTAAATTTTTATGAGCAGGGAAGTGCAATTTAAGCTATGGATTTTATTCTTCTTTAAATAAATTGATAGGGCTGTTACCTCCTGTAAAATTTCTGAAAAATTTGCAGCCAACGTTTTTATTTGGAGAACTTTCTTTTGGAAGACAAAGTAAGATTACTTCAGCCAGCATAAATGACACAAGTAGACTTCACATGTTTAAGAGGAACTGGAATGGAGGGCTATTTAAAAAAAAAAAAAAGCCATTTTTTTTGTCTGATATTTTTGCCCTTTCCCTTTCTTGGTGTAAGCCATGCTGGGTTTGCCTTCCAAAAACCACACTTGTTTTTCCTGTTATATAACCCTTTCTAAAGTTTTGTTTAGTGACACTTGATGCAAGCTTTTCCTGCCCCTGATGTGCATTAATTGAAGTGAAATGAAAGCAAAACTGTCACATATTTTGGGTCTCCTTGGAAAGCTTCCCCTCTGACTGATTTTTACAGTCCCATTTCCATGTTTTTCTACTTATTAGTATTAGCCTCTTTACCTCACTTGGGTTCCTAGCTGCAATCATGTCCCATTATCTCATAGAAATTCCCTTAACCTCAATGTTTAAAGAAGTACCCTGCTGGTAAATAGATGTATTTATTTCTTTTAAAATATAACTGGGTCCTGTTTGAGGATATGTTTCTGCTGCAAGCACATGCAGCCTCCCCTGCGTGCATTGAGATTATTTAGGACAGCACCACCAGCAGCTGAGTTTAAAACCTGATTTATGTTTAATTGCAATGTTTTTCGAGCGAGTTTAAGATTTTGGATTTGTCCTGCTTTTGCAGGACAAGGGAATGTTTAGTAAAAGCTGCATAGCTGCATAGATATTTTGTTTTTCCTGGCACTTTTGTCTTCTCTTCCTCACTGTGCAAAGAGAAAAGAAGAAGGGGATAGCAAACTAATGGCTGGCAACTGCACATCCCCTTTCCTGGAGCTCAGGTCTGGCAGTGTTTCTCGTGTGCCTGTTTTAATAACTAACCTTGCTTCGTGTGCTCCGCTGTCCTTGAAGGATTCAGGAGCTGGCAGTGTGCTTCCAGGTCCCTCAGAGCAGCGTGCCTGCCCTGCAGCAGCTCCTTGCCCCTGCCTGCTGCTCTGCCCGCTCAGCATCTCCAGCTGGCTTCCTCCTCTGGCACTTGGGAGTGCTCAGGCTCTGCTGGGACAGGTTAGAAAGAGATGGATCATTTTCATGCCTTGTGTTGAGATTTAGTTGCATTTAAAGAAACAAAAGTAATCATTAACAAGTTTGAAAGATTAAATCACTTTCCTTAATATTACTCTTAATATTTTCTTAGAAAGACATGTCTTTTATACTCAAGGCTCTAAAATAATAAGCAGAGAAAGTGTGATGCATTTTTTACTCATTTTCAAGGAAAACACATAGCTTTTGGTAATTTATCCTCCTGCCCATGTGCCATGCAATGACTTGGGTGTTGAGTGTGGCACATTCCAGGTGCCAGCACGGGCTGGGATGCTCTGGCTCCCCTTGGTGCTGGCCCCTCCCAGCTGGGAGCAACATCTGAGTTGGACTCTCAAAGTTAGGAAGTCCCCAGCTTAGCAGGCATACAAATGTCCCTGCTTATCCTGGCTGTTTTTCTGGCAGCTATTCATAATGTGGTTGTCACTGCAAGAACAGAAGAACTTTTTGAAGTGGCAGTTTTCTGTTTCAGAAACGAGCTGCAATGTTTGTCAGATGCTCCAGAGCTGGAAGAACAGCTTCATGGAAATAGAGTTTAGAGTTTCTTTGTCATTGATTTAACAAACAAACAAAACAAAACAAAGAACCTGAACTTTTTGCACTGTTACCATCTGGTTTTTTGTGTTTTTTTTTTTCTTTATGATAGGAGGTTGTTTTCAGACTGCAAGTTTGGACAAGCTGAACTAAAACTCACTTCTCCTTTCATTCAGTTTTTTTTTTTTTTTTTTTTTAATTTGATGTCTACTGAAGCTATCAAAATGTCAGCTGTTACAATTGAACTGGATAAGATTTTGTCAGATGAGATTGAGAGCAAAAGGGATTCCAAGCCAGATTTGAAGCAAGGCAAATCCAGTCAATCACGTGTTGATTATCATCATGGTTTTCAGCTTCACTGCTCGAGTTCTGCACCAGCTGGTAAGCATACATTTATATGACTTACTTCCTCAAATCTGTGGCTATTTATTCATGTAACATGTGGCAATTAATCTGTAAGACCCAACAAGGAAAACATGGGAATTGCTGCTGTCGTGCAAGCATTATAGGAATTAATTTTTAGTTTAGATAAAGGGTGGAAACAACTGTTTGTTTAAAAAGAATCTGTGTCTCCTGAACTCTCTAGAACGTGGCAGGGGTGGCCCAGGAGCCTGTAACCTTGGCATTACAGGGAGATGAGCTTTCCATAGGAGATGATACAGCTTTTGTGTAAGTTAGAGCAGCCTGAGCTGCTGCTCTGAGAGGAGAGTTGGCAAAGCGTGTCTGTGAGCTGTGCTCTCTAGTGCCCATCACTGGCTCCTTGTCTGCTTTTTTCTGGGTTTTTTTGCCATTCTTGAAGAGGGAAATGCATATTGCTTGTTTTTGTATTGGGCAGGTGTTATGTACAGCTAGAATAGGTCCACAAAAACGTCAGTTTTTGTGAGCATTGTGAAACTTAAGTTTTTCCAAAACTCATAGTCATGAAAAAATACGGAGTGTAGCTCCATTGGATTATCTAATATTACCAAGGGGACACATCTGCAGTTAATTAATTGAATCTCAGTTAATCCCTACAAGTCTTAAGTATTGGATAGTTCTTCACATAGGAAACCCCTTCTGAGGTTGGCTACTCCGATTTCTTTTGGACTACTTATGTATTATGGCTTTCGCAACTGCCAAAGAGTAATTTTATTTTCATCATGTTTTCACTTGCCCAAAACAAAACACAGACTTGGCAAGTGGAGAATATGTGAATGTAATGGACACTCTGTATCCTGTAATGGACAGCTGAAGTGCAGTGCAAGTCTGCACCTTTCAGTTTGGCTGAAGTAGGTGAAGATATGAATCAAATAAATCAAAATGATATTTTCAACTTTGCAACAAGTGGAAAGTGGAAAAACTGGAACATTTTCCAGTTATAAATTCAGTTCTTACACATTAAAATGGTCAAATGGTTGGGATCTTTCCTTTGCAAGAAAAGCAGATGGCTTGTGCTTTCTCCAATAGAAATTTTCTAATTTCCCTTTCTCTAAAGCCTTCAGTAACTTTTGTAAAACAAAATTTTCATCGTCAATGCACTCCTGAAATTTTCTCTAGTACGTCAGCAGGGTTTGTAAGGTCAGGAATTAGGTGTCTGTCTGCTTCTCTGGGATCCTATTACCTAATTTTTAAAATACCTCTCCTACCGCTACCAGTGTCACCAAAGAACTTGTGCATGTGCTAGGTGATTTGCTGAGCTATATTCCTTAAATGACAATCGAGCCTTTTTAGCCTACCTTGTTGATAAAGAATTAAATGAACTTCCAGTACAGGCAACATACTGTTGCTCAGAATTCTGCATGAAGGAGGTAATAAAAAAAAGACACTTCCTTGTTTGATTCTTCCATTCAGGAAAAAAAAAAATATTTTCTTTTAAAAAGGATTTTGTCTTGTGAGTATTTGTTAGAAACACTTTTTAATATTCCTGAAGCAGAATAGCAAACATCTAATCAGAGTGCTAACAAACATCTCTGACAAATGTTTTGGTTTCTATTTTTGCATCATGAGCAGAATCAAATGAATACTGATGCGTTGTCTTAGTGTTTTGGGGTGCTACGAATGGTCACTTAAAGGAAATGCCATCTCATTTTTTTTTGCTTTCTAAAGTTCTCCTTGGTATATTTATTTTACCAGTCTTTAGGCAAGCCCTTTGTGGTTTCTGGTGTGGTGCTGTGTTGGTTGAAGTCTGAATGGAGAAGTGCAAACAAAGCTGTTTGTCAGGCAGAAAAACATTTCAAGCTATGGTAATTGACAGAAATTTTTCTCTTAGAATTTATGTTTGGTTTGGCGTGCTTTGTTTGTTTGGGATTTTTTTTCAAATGGTAGTATGAAAACCTCCAGGGAAATCAACATCCTGCATCTGGGTGCTACCCTGAGGTTTGGTTTCTGTGCCCCAGGGGACTGCACTTACAGAGCTGCAGCCTTGGGAATCTCTATATTTAGTGTCAGCCAACTTGAGATTTTAAACTGTTTTTTTTAAAAACAATTTTTCAAGGACTCTCATAAAATTGTTCATATCACCAGGAAATGCTGGGAAGAGGTATGTAAGCTATGGAAACATGAATTACTCAGTGTTGACCTACAGAAAAGCAGTAACAGAGAGCACCTCCTTGTTCTTCTCTTCAATTTGCTGTTCACAATATTGTTTCTTTTGAGAGGTTATAGTTTAGAATTTATTATGCAGTGCTTATCATATAATTCTTTTGGTATATAAAGCAGAGTGTTCAATATACAGAGATTTCATTTAACAAAAGCTTTCCAGTACTTATGTGTGATTACTTTTGAACATAAGACATAAAAAATGTGAACACTGACAAAGTAAAGTGGTATCCTGAAATACACTCTGATGTTCAGGAAATGATGCTGGGACAGAAAAGCATTAACCATATTTTTATTTTGTTTTATTTTCAATTCTGTACCAATCCTGGTACTTTTTTGGGGATCTGCACATACATCAAAATACATTGTACATACATCAATACTGCAGGTTAATAACAAAAGAAAAATAACTAAAGTATTGATAAGTTCTGAGTACAGAGTTTTTTTTCTGTGCAGAGCCTTATTAAAATATTTAGGGGTTTATCACTTGCAGAAAATATTGAGACCTTGGTTTAAGGAATGAAATTCATAACGAAGATCAGTTGATGAATGCCCCAGGAACAGACCAGACTTCCATGGTGCTCAGATTGCCTGGACTCTGGGTGAGAGCTTGAACGGAGCAGTGACACTGTAGACATGGCAGATAATGTGCGGTTGTCAATTTTATTTATTTTAAAATGTTAATTTTAGAGATGTTGAGCAATCCTTAAAAAAAAATCAAGATTATCTTGATTTTTAAGGTACTTACTCTGCAAAGACAAATTTTTAATACAATATATGGAACGCAAGTGTCACAGCTACAGCAGTTTGTCTTCACCAAAGGAAAACAGGCTGTTCCTAAGATAGAAATACAGAACCATTTCTCTGTTGTACTGGTGAGAGTAGAATTTCCTCCAAGACCCGGTCTATTTGCTCCTCAGACTTCTCACAGCCAGCAAAGCTTATCTGAATATTGAAGATGTAAATATTTGTGCAGACTTAAACCCTGTTATCCCTGATATTTGCTTTTCCACTTGCTTGTTGGTCTGGAAGAGACTGAAAATACTTGACCTACAATCTTCATTGGCCAAGTCAGAGTGCAGCCCTCAAACTCTCCTGAAATTAGAAATGCATGAAACCACATGGGTTTGACCTGTGACTTTTAGCAGAATGATACAAGGCTAGAAGAACACCTACTTGCTTTTGCCTTTAGTGTGGTTCTTTCACTGATGAGATTTTTGGGGTGCCTTCTATGGGGAATGCAAGTGAAGAGAAAGGGGGAGGAAGAGAATATTAGTTCATACAGGGGACTAAAGATGTACCATGAGCTCCAACTGGAAGATCTGTCACTCTTTGGCACTGCCCTCTGAACTAGAATTTCATTAATAATACAAAAAATGAGCCTATATCTAAAGAATAATTCAGAGTTAGCAGAGAGGCCTAACACACTGAGGCATTCACCTCTGCCCCAGGAATCATGGCTTCTATCCTTCCAGGGTGTGGATAAATGGAAACTAAACTGAATACAAAAATTTAACTTTTCCCAGAGGCATAATTTATCTACTTCATTTACTTCATTTACATGCACTTCATTTAATGGGCTATTTACTTTCCATGGAGGATGGGGCTGTTCAGCAGACTCCAAGAAAAGACACTAATGACTTGTAATAGTGAACTTTATTTCCCAAACTGTCTCAGTAGCAATGGAAGTATGCCTATGTGAAGAATATGCTGACGTCACAGATCAAACTTGGCTTGGTTTGAAATGTGAGGTCAACACTTGCAAAACAGATGAGTGCAGACTTGGTAACAACAGTGAAAAAATGGAAGCCAGAGTCAAGTCTGAGCTTGACTCAGACTACTCTGAGCTACTCTCCCTGTAGCACAGTGTGTCTTACACTTGCAAAGCCTGAACACAACAGTGAAATACTTGCATCTTATTAAGTCCTTTTTACTTGAATAATGAGCATAAATTGATAAGCAGGTCTCCAGTGTGTTAGAAGATGCCAAATGACTCAGTCTTGATGGGGAGGTCACTGAGGAATTTCAGGTTTCTTATAAGTCTCGAGTTATATGTCTATATGGAATTGTAACAACATGTTTTAAAACACCAAGTGTGAAGCCTGTGAGCATCATAAGTAGAATGGACTGACGGCCATGAATCATTAACTTTGGTAAGTACAGGATGCTCCTCTGCTGATGCAGAATACAGTTGTATTTCATGTTTGAACACTGAATTAACTCTAAATTCTGATGGCTGTGTCAAGACAATATGCAGTCAGGAAACAAATGAGGTCACTTAGTACATTGTATATAAGTTACTGTTTGCAGTGTAGAAACCCCAAATATGGGTTTTTCCATTACTACGCTACCAAAAATGTATAGAAACTCTGGCAGACTTTATAAACCCTTGTGATATTTGTACCAGCATTGTAATATTATCTATGTTAATCTGATCTAAAAACCCAAAACGATAAGCAAAGAAAAAAAAAAAACCAAAACCCTGTTTTTATTTTTCTCCCTGAAAACACAAGTTTAGTAAAATTTAGAAAGGACATCATGGGGGAGAGAGAATTATATGGAGTTAGCTTTGCAGGAGCTGAATATTTTAAATAGAAAGTTCTGAGTGATTCTGCAAGACTCAAGTGTCTTTTTCCAAAAGTATATGGTGAGAAAGGATTTGGCTACCTATTAACCTCAGTCCTAAAGTGTGCTGTCTTGCTGGTAAAAGAAATTGGCATCTTGAGGAATTATATACCTATATATGCAAGACTATTTGTAATCATTTAAATCTCTCTCATTTTTGTGCTCCTGCCTTTCAGGGG